CTCTCGTGGTGCACCCCCTTGTGGGCTTTGTGCACAGTCTTGTTGTAGTTAAGCCTTGATTGTTGTATCACTGTGAGGAATTGAACTCCAGGCCATTTGGCTGTGAGAATCAGCTGTGTCTGCAGTGGGAGAACTTCTGTGGTGGAGACACCCCTCCAGGGCAAGACTTGCTTCAGTGGGGCTTTGGTGCTCACTGAGTCAGCCCCCTGAGTGTGTCCCTTATGGATCTGAGGAGTTGTAATCTGGATGGTCCCACTCTGACCACTGGGTATACTGGCTCTTGGATCTCTAAGGAGATGTTAAATTAGCTTCTTCCTAAGGCTACCCAGCAGGAGCTACAGAAAGATCTGCAGATTCCTCTTCTTTGTTTGGAGTTTGGAGGTGCCTAGATGCGGCCCAGCTGTGAAGCAATGCAAGCTGCTGTGGGGCCTTGGGTCTTCTTTTGGATGTTTGGGTCTCTCTGACCAGCTGCAGTTTGTTAGGTAATTTTAGATTGCAAAGGGCCAGGGCATTCATATGCAAAAGCCTCTGTGCACAGCTTGGGTGAGGCATGGTCTCAGGAAATCAACAGGGCGTAGCAAACAGCTATGGCTGATCCTCAACCCCGCCCTAAGAGGCCCCGGGTCTCTGTCCCTCGGTAATCGCTGCCTGCAAGTACCTCTGAGGGAAAGCCACCCTCGAGTTCTGACCGATGCCAGACAATCCAGTTTCTCCCTGTATGAGTCTGGGTCCCCAGAGACTAGCCCGGAACTGGAGTTCAGAGCAGTTGGGAGGTTGTGGCTTACTCCTGATTCAAAAAGACAACCATGTCCTCAGTTGCCAGCCCTTTCCATGTGTGCCTCCGTACCTCTGCACTTTACTTCTGCAGGACCTCTTCTTAGTCTCAGTGTGCTTTTCTTTCCTTCTAGTCGTAGAATTTCCACTCAGCCAGCCTTCCTGGGGTTCTGGATGATGTCCATTTTGTCTTTTAGTTGTAGTTTTGAAGTGGTTGTGTGAGGCAGCAATTTCAGGTGTTTACCTATGCCGCTATCTTGGTTTTCTTTCATTTCATTTTTTAGTATTCTTTCCTTTTATTGATTTATAATATAATAATAACATTTAAGATAATTGCATTTTGTATATTGTAAAACCTAAAGTTTATACTGGATATTTTAAATAAAAATAAGTAATAAGAATGTTCATGAGGCTGGGTTTCTTTAGGGATTAAAATGCTTTATAATCATAATTGTATGCCTTATGTAGTAATCATTTTATTGCATAAGTTAATTCTAATATGAGTTACTATGTTTATGTTCTTGATTTAAAAATTTTTAGTAAAAATCTGTGATAAATTACTATGCCTATAAATCATTAGACTAAGTAGATTCATCTAATTTTATTTCATGTTGACATTTATAATCTTTTTTAAACAGATATTAGAATGTGAATTCTATCTTTTAGAACTAATGGTAAGTATATTTCTTCCTTGTGATTAATAGAATAAAACTTATTTAGTGAAGTTAGAAATTATTTAAAGAAATATTTGTAGGGAGGTGCATTTTAAAACCATCTAAGTGATGTGATACATGATGGTGAAATCATAGTACCTAGTAGCATCATCACCTGTATCCTCTTAAATAATTTGCATAGCCTACTTAGGATGGGAATATTTTTCTGTTCTATGGTAACTATAATAAAAGGATTACAAGCAAACCGGTCAGGACATTAAACCACTGTCAATTTATTTGCACAATTTGTGTATGTTTGTGGTGTTATTTAAAGATAGATATGTTTTTGGCAGAATTCTCCACCAGGTGGGAATTACAGATTTATAGGCTAATAAGAGGTTTCAGTGTGTTGCAGATGTGACACTTTGAGTCTCTAAGGGAGTGGATGCTGACTGACTGCCAACCGATTTGCCAAGGTATATTCCAGAGAGAGCACTGCCTTCTCTATTATAATAGTTTAGGGCTGCCATACTGGTTTCTTAAGACAATAAGAGGGAAGCAAGCATGAGTTAGAGAAATACATAATTATAAATCAGTAGGGTAATGATAAGTTTTTTTGTGTTGTAATAAATCTGTTCCTATACATACACATTTTTTAAACTGTTTCTAGGATTGTTGCTTGATAGTGTATCATCCTTATAGACCTTTGCTCCAGTATGTGCAGGACATGGGCCAAGAAGACATGTTGCTTCCCCTTGCATGGTAATTAGAACAGAAGTTATTCATAGTATAACTTGTTATTAGCTAAGAAGATTGACGACTAAATATTAAGTTTAGTATTTTTAAAGTAATTAAAGTAGTGCCCCAAGATATTTTATGTTGAAAAAATATATACTTATTGAATTTTAATAACTATATTGGTACAAATGATAAAAATCTTTAAATTATATATTTGATGAATATTTTCATTAAAATTTGATTATTATGAAAAACACTGTTGACATAAAAGGTCAATTTATCTTTAAAATTATCAGAATACTTTCTGGTGGTATTCAGTGTACATATCATTGTATGATTTCTGGTTTCCTATATGATATTCTAATTTTTGAAAAATTAGAAGAAAATCTTTAAAATTTATTGTGAAGTTTTAAATTTTAAAATATATTTAGCTATCATTTTATTCATTAAAATATCCTTATTTATTGAATCATTCATGTATCCATCTTTTTCCCATGATATTTTCACCTTTATATCTGTGCTTCAGTAATACAAAAGAGAAATAATGTGTACAAAGATGGCAAATACAGCCCTCTCTGGAGGGAAATGTATAATCATATGAGGTAGTTCTGCTTTCAGTAATAATATGGTTTACATTTCTATAGGAGGATAGTGAATGATACCTACAGAACGGATCTTTGCCTACTGTATCCTCCTTTCATGATAGCTTTAGGTATGTAAGTGTGATTTATCTTTATTAGTTTAATTGTTATAAACCTATTTAGGTCATCCTAAAAGAAATTTCACCCTATCGTACTTTTTTTTATATTTATGAAGTAATAGACTAATTCTTGCATGTAAGTTTTCAATAATATGAACTAAACTGTCACAAATCAGGATTATTGTCCCCCTTCACCCTCCTTTTTTGTTTTTGTTTTGGGGGTTCTTTTGTTTTTTTAATTTAAAATAATTTTAACCAGTGTTTAGGGGGAAAAGTTTAGAATAAAGTCCTCAAAGGTTGAGTAAAGGAGCCTCTGTGGTCCTTAACGCCTTTTTGGAGGGATAAGTTAGCTACCATTCTATTACCTGTGGAAGGCAGTACTGGGTTAGAACACAGTCTTTGGAGTCAGATGACCCTTGGTTTAAACTTTGCTTCCTTTATAGTTGTGGAAAAATTATCTAACTTTTCTTAGTTTGTTTTCTAAATTGTAAAATGTGCGGATACTAACAGCTCCATACAGACTTGTAAGAATTAAATGAGATACTTTATAGAACACCAAATATTGTCTGCCTTATATTAGGCACTTACTACTTTTTGTTCTTTTCTCTGTTGATAGCCATGATTCTATCCACTTGATCACTTCCCCCATTCTTTAACAGTCCAGACTTACTGTTTTCTCTTTTTTCAATTATTCCTTTAATGTTAATGTTTCTTATCCTTCTCATATCAGGGGTGGCATATAAGTTATACTTATATATGTTGAAGTTTAATTTCACAAAATTTATTTAAAATAACAATTAATGACAAAATAACCTGTTAACTATAAGCAAATTTTGCTTTAAAGCATTTTAGAATTAACGGGGTATTAATTTTGACAAATGACATAGGGACGTGAAATTTTGTCCGTTAAATCCAAAGTTCGTTAAATGGAGGGCTCACTGTATTGGTAATTAGTACCTTTCTTTAGTAATTTCATACCCATAATCTTTTTTTTGTTCAGGTTACCACAGTAGTCTATTTCCTGACCAATTGGCCTCTAGCATCCCTGTTCTTAGGGAGCCAGTCAATCTCCTCCACACTTGAACTTTGCTACTAGTTCTCAACCAGAGATAATTTTGTTCTTTAGGGGATGTTTGGCAATGGTTTTGGTTGCCACAGCTATGCTGAGATGCCACTGGCATTGGTGGGTAGAAGCCAGGGATATTGTCAGTCTCAAAGAATTGTCCAGCCCACAATGTCAATGGTGCCAAGGTAGAGAAACTCTGATGTAGAATTTTACCCCAATGAAAACTTTTTTTTTCCCAATGAAAACTTTTAAGTGCTTCTCCCAATTTTTGGATAAAATATACAACTTCTTTTGACCATTTATATGCATGCCATTTTCTGCTCCCACTCTCACCTATTTTTAAGACTTGGCTCAGATTTCACCTTTAGCCATACTGTCCCCTCACTATCCCTCCCTATATCATCTCATGCTGGGTTCAGTGTACTCTGCATATACCCTTATGATGTTTTCCACTGTGTTTTAATTACCTGTTATAATTTCAGTCTTTAAGCTTCTCAACCCCTCCTGGATCTAAGTCCTTTTATAGCTCCATTTGACTTGGTGCAACCACTGCAACCGTTTACAGTTAAGTCACTGATTGCCTAGAATATCATCCTTAGCAAAGTCGTATGTGTAAGCACATCAGGGAACATAACTCTTAAGAAGCTAGTTTGGAATCCAAGTAACCAAGCTGCTCAGTAGGAATTATATTGGGCAAAATTATGATGTAGCTGTTATCTTTGAAATTTTTACTATCTTTGTTAGTTGTGTATCTATTCTATATATATAAAAGCCTAAGCAACTGAATGACCTGTTGACCGGTCACTGTGACACACACTGACCACTAGGGGGCAGACACTCAATGCAGGAGCTACCCCCTGGTGGTCAGTGCACTCCCACAGCCAACCTCCCATGGCTCCTCCCCCCAGCCAGCTAACCTCCTGTGGCCGCAATCACCGGCCAGGCCAAGGGACCCCCCCCCACCCATGCACGAATTCATGCACCAGGCCTCTAGTAATGTATAGAAGTATATACAATACATTATATATTTTTTCTAAGATCTATTTTATTACAACACTCAATTCTGTGCTAATGTGCCCAGTTTTCACCTAATTTGATATACTAATAACTTTAAAAAGTAATTCTGGTTGGGTGATTCAGTTGGTTGGAGCATCCTCCCATGCAAGGTTCAATTTCTGGCCAGGGCACATACCTAGATTGCTGGCTCAACAGTCAGGGTGCACACAGGAGGCAGTTGATTGATGTTTCTCTCACACATATCTCCCTCCATTCCTTCATCTTTCTAAAACCAATAAACATATCCTCATGTGACAATTTAAAAAAAAAGGCAGCGTCAACAAACACTACTTTTAGTTGAAATAGCAAAACATGGTCCATATTGTTGAAATTTATCAGCATATTGTTTGGCTGAGATTTTTGTTTTGTTTTATTTATTTATTTACTTACCTCCTCACCCGAGGATATGTTTATTGATTTTAGAGAGAGAGGAAGGGAGGGGAGAGAGTGAGAAATATCAATGTGAGAGAGTAAAATCAATTGGACTGGGGATTGAACCCACACCTAGGTATGAACCCTGACCAGGAATCAAACCTTCCACCTTTGGTGTATGGCAAGCACGTCAAACTCATGGCTGGTGGGCCACATGCCTCGTTAACCCTAACCTGCCACGGGATGACACTCCAACCAACTGAGCCACCTGGCCAGGCATTTTCTTTCTTTTTTTTAAATCACACTGACTCTGATTATATTTTATACCACTTTGTATCATTGTCCAGAGATAATTTCTCTGCTTTAATTTCCTCATTGAATTTTTCTCTCTAACATGCCCTGACTCTCAAGCAACTGCACCATGCCTAGCACACTGAGGAGCTGGAAATGTCAAGAACCTTAATATGGTCTAATAATTTTTTCTGTCTGTATGAGATTAAATTGATGGCATGGTCAATGGTAACTATTATATGAATCTATGCAATTTTCTAAAAGAATATTGGAAAATATACATGAAAAATGTAAGAGAAAATTTTACCCTTAGTTCTGAGTCCACACATTGTATGTTTCTAGTTAAACGTGGGCCTTTGTCTCTTATTTTCTTTCCAGCTTGCCTACATGTAGCCTGTGTTGTACAGCAGAAAGATGCCAGACAGTGGTTTGCTGAGCTTTCTGTGGATATGGAGAAGGTATTCTTTAAAATTCCCTTAGTGCAGTGGTTCTCAACCTTCCTAATGCCGCGACCCTTTAATACAGTTCCTCATGTTGTGGTGACCCCCAACCATAAAATTATTTTCGTTGCTACTTCATAACTGTAATGTTGCTACTGTTATGAATCGTAATGTATATATCTGATATGCAGGATGTATTTTCATTGTTATAAATTGAACATAATTAAAGCGTAGTGATTAATCACAAAAACAATATGTAATTATATATGTGTTTTCTGATGGTCTTAGGCGACCCCTGTGAAAGGGTCATTCGACCCCCAAAGGGGTCGAGACCCACAGGTTGAGAACCGCTGCCATAGTGGAATATAAACTTGAACATTTTAAAGTTAATATCATATTTATTAAAATCTTAAGGCTCAGATCAGGCTAAAACGTTTTTGGTAAAAAATAAAAAAGAAATATGTTTAGCAAGAAGACTAAGGTTCTCTTTCTCTTTTCATTTTAGGCTTAAGCAGAATGGTAAACTTTTAGTTTGATTAGTTGAAGAGCAGCCTCTAATTTTCAGGATTATTTTAAAAGCTACCTAGTGACCACTAAATGGTACTGTAAACTTCTAGGACACAGGCTATCTTCGGGCAAAGCAGTTTTTGCCCTTTTTTCTATCTTTCAACATGTTTATGTTAATGTTGATTAATTTTATCCTGCTAAAATGTTAATAGCGTTCAAATTAATCCAAGGCTAGGTCTACTCAGGTGAGAAAGAAAGAGCTAATTTGGAAACTGGATATACAAATTTATAGCTGCCAATTTTTTAGCACCTTAACTTGTTTATTATAGTTAATAGAATCAAAACAGTATCTTTTTGCACTACTTTCCATTACATTGTTTGAAACTACTGTATAGTGGTAAACTTCATGATTTAGACCTCTATTCCTAGTACCTCACTGTTTTCTTTTGGTTTAGATATTAGCAGATGCAAGGAAACTAACTGCAGAGAGGCGGATAAGAATGGACAGGGGCATACATGTTAACAGATGAGAGGCTAGCCGGAACTGGTTTGGCTCAGTGGATAGAGCGTCAGCCTGCGGACTGAAAGGTCCCGGGTTCGATTCCGGTCAGGGGCATGTGCCTGGGTTGCGGGCACATCCCCAGTGGGAGATGTGCGGGAGGCAGCTGATCGATGTTTCTCTCTCATCGATGTTTCTAGCTCTCTATCTCTCTCCCTTCCACTCTGTAAAAAATCAATAAAATATATTAAAAAAAAAAAAAAAAAAAGACTAACAGATGAGAGGCTAGAAGGAAAGGCCTAAATAGCAGATACAAATACTACTTTCACATTTATCAGGATTGAGCCTGAATACTTAAGGACACTGTCTTTTCAGTTTCTGAGGCATGCTGGATATGTATTCTTTATATACTAGATGTTGCTTCACATTGTCACTGAGAACTTTTTAAATATTTTCTTCTAGATTTTGGAAATAATCAGGGTTATTTTAAAACTATATGAACAGTGGAAAAATTTTGATGAGAGAAAAGAGATGGCAACTATTCTTAGCAAGATGCCAAAACCAAAACCTCCTCCAAACAGGTACTTTGTAAACTTTAATTATAGATTCCATTTAATTATATATTTCATACATATTATCACATTGTTTCATAGATTATTGTTTTTTTTCCTTAAAATTTCTCCCAAAACTTCACAATACATACTAATTTTTTTAAATTTCTGACTTGATAGATTAAGAATGTCTCGTTTTAAAATATTAATTGGATCATCTGTTAGTAACTTCCTAATGCAATGGCAGGTCTATTACAGGTATCCCTCAACATATGGCTAGATACTATACATAAATTTAAAAAGGACAAAATTAGGCCAGTTTATCAGAGATTCAGAGATAAAGAATTCTGTAGTACTCCAATGTCAGTGTGACTCTGTGTCATCTTTTTTATTTTATTTTTCCCCAATACTGGCTGTTATCCTGTTTTATGAATTAGATTATTGATCTGATATTGTAAAGATAAAAAATTTTAGCTTTTGAGTGCCCCAAATGACACCCAATAAACATAATCTTATTAAATATGAATCACTTGTGCTCAAGGGGCTTTTGTTGTTGTTTTAATAGGATCTGTTCATTTAGTTTAGTGGTTCTTTGCTTTCACTGTACATCAGATCATTGGGGTAGGAATCAAGGTCAGAAGGGATTAAACAAATAATGCCCATCCTAATTAAGTTATATTTAAGTTATCAAACATTGAGATAGATTTGTAGTTCTGATAAGTTAATGTCACTGTTGGGAAAAAATAAACACTTATACAAGGAGCTGTTTTAAGGCAGTCATTCAAACAGCTACCTTTGGATGCATTTTTTGCAGAAGTTCCCTGAGTGATTCTCCACTAGTGGCAGGGCCTGAAGCTGCAAGATGATGATGGACAAGATAAGGCAATAATCCTATTGCCACAGATACTGGTATTTTCAGTTTTAGTTATTTTTATTTTGAATATTCAGCATTTTCCTGGAAATTACCATATTTTTATTTATAAAGGTTTGCTGTGTTTACATATGATTTTAGTATGCCTTCGGATAGTAATTTTTTGGGTGGAGAATACTTCTTGATTTTCATAGTTGTTTAGTAGAAATAAGATTTTATATGTAAGATTTAATTTTATAGGAAATTTGTTCAGAAGCTATATGTTGAGTGATACCTGTAATGACAATGAAATCCCATACCCTAATTTAAATTTTTTGAGTGTATATGGACACTAATTTCCAGAATGCTTGTTATGTATGAGGGCACTAAGTTATATAAGAATAAAAATTTAAAACCAAATGTTAGTCTTCTGGATTTAATTTTTCCACATCTGTGTCTTACAGTTGGGAATGTCTTTGTTTTGTAAGTTTGTACTACAGAATAACTAATGTTAAAATTATTAGTAGGCTTATCCGGGTGTTGAAAATGAATCTTTTAATTGGTATAAAATCTCTTTCTTCCCCACTTGAACAGTGAAGGAGAGCAGGGTCCAAATGGAAGTCAGAATTCTAGCTACAGCCAATCTTAAAACATTCCGAAGAATTCCATAGTGGACCAGTTGGAAATAAACCATTGGACAGATTTCAGTAATGTCTTCAATGGAACACAAATGAACATGAATAGCTTGTTTCTGTCAAGCATATTGGGAAGTGATTTTATTTTTGCAAAATAAGGTTTTCCTTACCTAATTTGATTCTAGTACATAATTGATTAAAGGCTCTTGATTTTTTAAAGTTTGGGAAGGTTCTAAGGGGACCTACAGACAGACATTTCAAAATTAATAGTTTTTGCTTAGTATAATTTTTCTTAATTTGGATAATAATTGTAGTTTTTTATTAAGCCAGGAAACATGAAGCATAATTTGTTTAAAATTCTCTTTGGTCATTGAAGGACCAAAAAAGGACATAAAAAGTGAACTATATGAGGGGTTTTCTCCCTCCTTAACTTAAACTTTAAAACTGTATTTAAGGAATCAAATCTTACAAAATCCTGGAAGATTTTGGTAATGATATTGATAATTTCAGGGAAATTAGTCAAGTACCTATTGATTTTAAAGTGTATTTTATTCAGTAGTTTTAGTATCTTGCCATGGAAGATACTAGCCCAGCCTCGCAGAAAAGTGCAATATGTATAGCATACTTTGACATTTTAAAAGTTTTATTAATTCTGTAACCATTTTGAAATGCTGGGCAAACTTTTTTTAAACACCTACATGAAGTTATTTGCATTTGACTCAGTTTAATCAGGCATTTAGAAAACTAATTGGATAAAACATAAAATGGTTGAAATTTGATAACATTTTAATGTTAATTTTACTCTACTGTGAAAAGTTTTTTATATGACATACACACTCTAGTTTATTTTTATGTCTTAGCCTGGATTTACAAATTTATTACAGGTATCCTGAGCCAGGAACACAATCAGGTTTCAGGCCAGTTTGATACTGGCTATTCTTAATTCTCACATGAGCGTAGGATTTAAGACTAAATGTTATGTCAGTGGGACTGTGCTGTCTGTGGAACTTAAGAAATTAATCATTTTCTTCAGACTTGAAGGAGAGAGATAAAATTTGGAGTCATAGGATATTGATGTACAATTTAAGGATTAAAAAATTTTATGAATCAATTGTGAACAATGAAATTACATGTTGATTTCGTAGTATAAAACTGCAAAAATAAAAGTACTTTCTCCAGCTGTATTGACCAGTGTCTTGAATATTTATCTTTTTTAATCTGCCTATGTTGTTTTCTGAGAAGAGTCCTTCTTTAGACAAGTATTAAAGCCTCCTATAGTTAATCAAGTGGGTAATTTCAAAAGGTTTAAAATTAAGGCGAAATATTAATCACTTGTGCTAAGGGGGCTTTTGTTGTTGTGAAGAGTAGCAGAGAATCTGGAAAGGGAGATTATGTATAAAGTCAGTATCAGCGACAAATAAAGGTCTCATGGGCAGGATAAGATAGATAAAAGAAAAAAAGCTTTCCTCAGGTCTGAAGGAACTAAGATTGGGCTTGTGTTGGAAGAGTGGAGTGATTATATGTCATAATCATTGACTTACCCAGATGGGTCCAAAGAGGCACAGATGGAAGAAAGCACAAATATTTTACTGCTAGCACACTAACAAGTGTAAGGCATTGCTAAGGAATATACTCATGCTAGTGGTTAAGTTTAAATATATATACATATATACATATTTTTTAATGATACAGAAAATGTATATTTTCAAGTGTCTACTTCAATAAGTCTTGATGATGTATGTGTCAGTACATCATGATATAAGGCATTTCTATTACCCTAGGAATTTCCCTCCTTGCCTTTCCAGTTAGTCTCCTTCCCTCAATAGAAGCAACCACTGTTCTGATTCCTATTTTTAAATTGAAAATTATTTCACTACCATGCTGGTCACAACACTGCCATAAGTCTTTGGATGCTGTTAATACATTTTCATTGTTTATTATTTCAACTACTTAATAAGGATTCCAGATTCTTGGTATTTTAAGGTCAAGTCTGTTTATTAATCTGGTCTAACTCATAGCCTCTGATTGGTGTGCTAACACATATGTACATGATTAAGAAATCCAAATAGTAATTCGGTTTTTTTGGAATACTATTGGGCTCTAGTAACCTATTTAAAAATTAATTCCTGGCCGAAACCGGTTTGGCTCAGTGGATAGAGCGTCAGCCTGCGGACTGAAAGGTCCCAGGTTCGATTTCGGTCAAGGGCATGTACCTGGGTTGCGGGCACATCCCCAGTAGGAGATGTGCAGGAGACAGCTGATCGATGTCTCTCTCTCATCGATGTTTCTAACTCTCTATCTCTCTCCCTTCCTCTCTGTAAAAAATCAATAAAATATATTTTAAAAAAAATTAATTCCTGGAATCCCAACCCTTATAATTCCATGGCAAGCCACTAACAGTATCTCAATCCTCAATAGCCTGTGCAAGTAGGCAGGGGGAAGTAGTATTCTTTCTTTCTTTTTTTGTAGAAAGAGTGAAACATCTGTTTGTTGTTCCACTTATTTATGCATTTATTGGTTGATTCTTGTATGTGCCCTGACCAGGGATCAAATCCACAACCTTGGCATATTGGGACGACACTCTAACCAGCTGAGTGACTGGCCAGGGCTCCCCCTGCTTTTTAAAAAAAGTTGGTATATACTGAGTAACTGAGAGTGAGAAAGTAACTTAGGTAGTAAACAACCCCTTTTCCTCTTAAACTCCCACGTTGGACTGAATCGTATTATTTAGCTGTCTAAAATCGAACTAGGAAAAAAAACCTCTATCAGATTATATCAGCAAAACTAAGAATTTCCTACATATATCTTATGAAGTATGGAAAATAATTACACTGAGGTTTATTAATGTTGCCATTCAGTTTTAAAGACAAGAAAATGTGGACAACACAATTTACCACCCAGAACCAGTCCCCTTGAGTCTGAAAACTTATTGGTTGATTCTTGTATGTGCCCTGACCAGGGATCAAATCCACAACCTTGGCATATGGGACAACACAATAACCAACTGAGTTACCAGGCCAGGGTGGGAAGTGGTATTCTCAATTTACAGTTGAGAAAAAGATTCAACAATTAATTGACTTATACAAAATCCCCTTCCCATTAGCCAGTGGTGCCAGAGCTAGAATTTTATTCTTTTGCTCATTCCACAACTCTAGGCTGCATGTACATAAGGCAAGAGCCAGCCTGTATTCCAAACTTCAGTTTCCTTGTTTCTTCTCTGAATGTTCATAGGTAGACCATTCCTTCCATCCTCCAGCATAGTGTTGAGACCTAAAAACATACATCAAATAGTGCTGTAAACATTTTTTACTGCTTCATAAAACAAGGTTGATGAAAACTAGTGATTGAGAGATGCGATGGCTACTCACCATACTGTTAAGACTATAAGCCTATTTAAAAGATTGTGTTACTTTTGAGCACTATGAAAAGATAGAGGCTCTAACTCTTGCTATACTGCCATTACTAATAGTGTAAGAAATTCAGTAGAGCAATAACATAATACATATGAAACATTACAGTATATATCCTTCACCTACATACCTGGTAAAGCCCAAAGATATTGCTGTGTCCAGAGCCTTCTTGCTTCTCACGCCAGCTGCACAGGAAAACATTAGACTGTCAGATTTGGATGGCTTTATTACATTATACTTCTCCTTGAAGTCTTCTGGGTTCATCTGTAGAGCTTCACCTACCTCATTTACTGAAAGAAAGAGTCTCAATTAAATTTTATCTACAGTAAATTGACTGAATATGTATTTTTTGAAAAGAATCAGATTAAGATACATGTCACTTACATGGTATATTGACAGACCCAGGGATTTTTCCACACTCAATAATTTCCCATGTGTTTCTAACATCAATTAACATAATTTTTTTGGAATTCAAGAGGTTTTTCAGTTCCTTATAAGTTACATCTTTATAAACAGCAGTACAAAAATTGTGCCAGTTTCCTTTTATTGAGTTCAAACCTGGAAAGAATAAAATAATATAGGCACCTTCAAAATGGTATCACTATTAGTATCTGAAATTTTTCCCCTGGTTCCGGTCAGCTAACTACTCAATCTTTTGACTTTACTAAACTATATTTAATGGATGTACTTTTTACACAGCCTGACTGAGCAGGAAGATACAACTCTATCTTCCTGCCCTGCATGCTTAATGGCTGGCCTTATGCCAGCTCCATATTCTACTCCCTCCAAGCCCCTTCATTGGGGTGGGAGTGGAGGTGGGAAGGACTTGTAAATACACATATAGCATTTGACAACTGAATTGTGTGAATAATATGTATATCTTACCCTGATCTAAGTTACAATATTAAAATTTTAATATTTTTCCTTACAAATTAAGATAAGTCATGTTAGATGTGGGGGCTTTACATTTGAAAGCACTTGTAAGTACTTAGTGGTACCGTTTCTATCTCTGTTAAATAATTAGCAGCATAATAAGGTAATGGATAAATAACCCATAAGACAAAATAAAAAATTCAGTCCAAAGTGATATAAGGATATAATTAAATAAGTGGGGAGAAGGGATTGCTTCAATCGATAAATGTAGAAGGAATGATGGAAACAGTCATCATTAGGTAAACACCCAGTAATAATTGTTGCAGCATAATTTTTCAAACCTTATCCTCCTCCTCATTCCTCTACTGCCCTAATTACCCTACCCTCCAGCTATATAAAAAATATACAAGCCCTGATTTCTGGTGGCCAGTGGGGCTTACTCATTTAGTCCCACATGACTGGGTACATCTGCATACAAAGCTGATGCCTGAGGGTCTGGCATCCAGTCAGCCTGAGAGTCAACCTTTTGGGACACTGACAGGTCTTGGCATATGTTCAACTACTGGGAGCTATTAAAGATGTACTGAGCCCTAGCCAGTTTGGCTCAGTGGATACAGTGTTGGCCTATGGACTGAAGAGTTCCAGGTTCAATTCCAGCCAAGGACACATACCCGGGTTGCAGGCTTCACCCCAGTGTGGGGCATGCAGGAGGCAGCCAATCAATGATTCTCTCTCATCATTGATGTTTCTATCTCCCTCACCCTCTCGGAAATCAATAAAAATATATTAAAAAAAAAAAAAAAGATGTACTGGGCTGCTTGGACAAGCACAAAGGTTTGAGAGTCAACCAAAAGCTGAGGCAGTGCTGAATGACAAGACAGTGATGAGGCCACTCCTTTAAGCTGGGAGAGGGATTGTTTCATCTATATTCAGCAATTCCATTTCTAGGTACTCAAAAAAAAAAACCAAAGATAGTATTTCAAAGATATATGCACCCGCATATTCACTGTAGCATTTACAATAGTCAAGATATGGAAACAATCTAAGTGCCCATCAACAGATAAATGGATAAAGAAATTGTGATATATACATATATATGGAATGGAATATTACTAGGCCATAAAAAAGAATGAAATCTTGCCATATGTATGTAACATGGATGGACCTCAAAAACTACATTAAGTGAAATAAGCCAGAAAGAGAAATACAAGTACTGTACAATATGTCTTATATGTGGAATAATCTATATGTATAAAGAGGTAATATGCTAATTGGTCCTAACGGTGTCCCAGTCACGACCGTTCAACAGGTTGCGCGCACAGGAGCTGGTGAGCGGGGGATGGGGGTGGGGACTTCTGCCCCCAGCGGAGGCGTGTGCAGGCCACACTGCCTCCCAACAGGCATGTGCAGGCAGGAGCGGTGGGCGGGGACACAGACAGGGGGAGCGGAGGGCGTGCCTGAGCCGCCACTGTGCAGCTTAAGCAGGCCCAGAGCGGACACAGACATTTTTTGTGGTGAGGGGACTGGAGTCTGTATTGATGAAAAAATCTTGGCAGCTGCGGCGGCTGATAGTGGCAGCAGCAGCGGGGTTATGGGGATGGCCCCCTCCCCTGATCAGCCTGGTCACCTCCCGCAGAGGGAGGCCAGTCAGTAGGACATCCTCTGAGGGTTGTGTGTGTGTGTGTGTGTGTGTGTGTGTGTGTGTGTATAAATAAATGAGTTATACTATTTCCAAGATACCGTCTAAGTAGAATTTCTATAAATCTATGATTAAAACTTTTTTCTTTGCCAAAATAGTGATAAATAGTAAAACACCATTATATCAAAGCTTGTTATTACCCAGATCTTAATATTTATATATACACACACAGACACACACACACAAGCTCATAGATACAGTTTGTTGGTTGCCAACTGTGGGCAGAGGATGGCAGGCGGGAGGGGAAGAAAAATAGGTAAAATGTGTGTTTTTTCAGATTAAATAAATTGAATAAAAACTTTTTTAAATAAGGGAATTGTCACTATTAAAAAGGCAAAAAATAAAATCCTACCTGTCAGGCATCAGCCCTGTCCTAACAACCAGCATCTTCACCCTGATGTCTACTATGAAATATCCACAGGTCAATGGAGACAGGGATGGGGGTGAGTGTATTGATCTGATGACCCGATCCTCATAGGAGAGACCCCACTCACCACCACTGCTTTCCTAGCTCATCGTTCTTGTTCTTCCAACATTGGTCATCTCTGAATGGAGATGGTAGTGAAGGGTAGGATCACCTGACCTTCCTACATGTGTCATAGCAAATTCTGGCACTGTAGGTATTACTTGTGGACTCCTGGCTATGAGTGAAGTTAGTACCTCATGGAATGACTGAAAGTTCATATGCCAAAAAACCCTAGCTTTAAAAATGGAGAGAAAAACTCAGTACTTTCTCCTCATTCATTTATATACAGAACAGATGAACATAGAAGCAGTGCTTGAGCAAAGAAGAGCAGTAGTGTGTATGTAATTTTATGCCACTTGCCCAGCTATTTGAGCTAATGATTCTCAATCTTTTAAGGTTTGTGGGATTTTTTTTAGCCTAAGTTCCTGATTTATACAATACATGAGTTATACTATTTCCAACATACCGGCTAAGTAGAATTTCTATAAATCTATGATTAAAACATTTTTCTTTGCCAACATAGTGTTAAATAGTAAAACACCATTACATCAAAGCTTGTTATTACCCAGATATTAATATTTATCATATATAATTAATTCCCTTGAAATATATCAAACATATTAAACAAACATGGATTGTAACACAGAAAAAAAAATAGTATACATGTGTCCTACCT